CAATGAGCGAGCTAAACCAGAATGGGTAGTGACAGCTCCAGGTGTGGTACTCATAGTGGGAACAGTTCTTATACTCCAGGAGTCGGATCTTCCTGTCGTAGGATTCACTCAATTTGTCACTTTCCTCATCAGTACAGACCTCTTGGATGGAGTTTATGGTGCAGTCATACAAATCCCAGGCCTTACAGCAGAATGTCTTAGTAATCATCGTCTCATTTGCTTTCAATCGCCACATCTGTTTAGCACTTGTCATACAATTCATGTATTTTGCGCTCATTTCGGCTAAACTAAGACAGGACTCGATTGCCACCTCACATACCATACCACTTGTGACCAACAAATGTAGTGATAAGACAATTGTTATTAAATTTGTGGTCATTCTGTGTAGAAATTGTGTCAATGTATGTGTGGTTTAAGTGTTTTTTGAATAACTGCTAAAAAGGTTTTTACGGTACATGTAATTTATAAATAAGGCGTGAATTAACAATAAAATATTTAGAGTTAAGTTTAAGTTGGCCTTAGAAATACTAACAAATCGTATCTTAATGTATAAAAACAATGATATTTTACTATATTTCAAAACATTAAAATACTTTAATCACAATCATAAGCATAAAGTCTAAGTTTGTGGGTGAAATTTCTTGAGATGCCATTCCAGAGCTTTTGGTGTCTTAAACCTACGCCAACAAGTCTCGTGAGTACAGGGGATCGGCAGCTCTTTGGTAATGGTCTCATTGCCAGCAATATTAGTCAATTTGACGACATTTCTCACTTCCTTTTGAGGCTTTACTAGATTCTCGACCACACACTGAAAGACACGACTTGTGGTGGGGTTGTTGTGGCCAATCATTTGAGGCAATGATTGATAGTTGTGTTCATTTGGTATTTGAATTCGCGTTGAATTGAAAGCTCGGATGCGATCCAAACGAATCACATTTGACTGAATACTAGGATAATGTGAACCCGATGTCTGACTCATGGGTTGGATCTGAGAGTAATTGTCGGTATTGTCACAGATTTCTTCGATATTGTAACTATCGTTGAAGTCGTTGTCATTTCCCTTAAAGAATCAAATTTGTTACAAATATATCACAAAATCACAAAATGTTTGCATACTTTTTGGTGCATTTTCCTGTCGTGAGCCAGAAGTCCTCTTTTGGTATTAAAAGATTGTTTGCAGTCGTCGTACAAACACTTAAACGCCTTTTCGGTTGAATTTTCAGCGAATTTATGATTGAATTGAATGTGAGAGTGAAGTGTTGTTTTGTACGAAAAGCGTTTCTTTTGGTATTAAAAGATTGTTTGCAGTCGTCGTACAAACACTTAAACGCCTTTTCGGTTGAATTTTCAGCGAATTTATGATTGAATTGAATGTGAGAGTGAAGTGTGGTTTTGTACGAAAAGCGTTTATCGCAGTGTAGACACGCAAAAGGCTTGGCACCGGTATGTTTGTTGGTGTGTTGCAATAACTTAAATGAAAATTAATCAATAAACAAATTGTCTGTTAATTAAAATACTACTCAATCGTGAATACCATAGATCTGGTGGAGTATATGGACGGACATCCGGGCCAATCGCATCGAAACTTTTTACTAACTTTTGGTTTCGAAATACTTTGTTTCCGTGATTTCCGTTCATTTGATTGTTTCACTACTTTCTCGGATTTATGCAAATCTTTATGGAAACAAATAAATTGGTAGTAAACACTCAATTGTATCCAAAATTGTCACCAAAATTACCAGATTTTTGATGTGCTTTCAAATGTGTGTCGAGATTATTGGCGTACCGGAAGCGTCGCTCACAGCCCGGCCAATCGCACGGGAACTTCTTAAGCTCGCCTTTAAAGTCATAGTCGGAGTTGGGATTAGAGTTATTCTTCGACTTATATCTCTTGAACACCACTTTCTTGCCCTCATGTGCTCGCATGCGATGAATGTCGAGTTGTTGCGTATGGTTTGTGCGCCACTCACAGCC